AACCGCTCTGACAAACAGGTTTTTTTGTCTATTATATGAGCTCTGTTTTGGATGCCATGTTCAGTAGCCTTATCTCCTGCTAAATAAAGTTTTCCCACCTGCTCAACTCTGAAGACTGACCGCCGCCAAAATCTGTAAAGATCATTTCAAACTAAGCTAAATGGTGACACGACAGTGTGCGTAGGCCTGTAGTTAGGTGTAGCAATTCAAACTGACCTGCATCCATCCAAAACAAGTTGCTCCTCCTTCAAACCTAATTTTTTTACTTGAAATCAGCTAGAAAAAATGACAAACTGAAGTTTATTTTATTTGCAAGTTAATACCACTGGCTCAGCAAATCTAGTGCAATTTGTTTTGGGGGTTGTCTTTTTAAAGAAATGCACTACGGCCTGGGAAGATGAGTTCCTGCCTGGAGGAAGCCCTTTTATTATTGCTGCAGAAAACAAAGCCTGGCTGAGTTTGATGTTCCAATGTGTTTGTTTTTTTTCTTTACTGAAAGCCACAAAATGCTTCTTGCTGGGTTTTTTGTGTACATAAACATTGTCAAGCTGTGAAAGAAAATGGCTGAAGGTGTGCTGTTGTATAAAAGGTGAGCAATAAAAGTATCTGTATGTTCCCTTTGCTTTAGTTTCTTTTCCTTCTTGGTAGTAAAAAGCTACAGTAGCTGGGAATTCGTGGGGATTTCTGTCTGCATCTATTTTACATTTTAATCTATTTTAGATGTTCTAGTTGTCCCAGCTGTGCTGTGCGTTCTGCCCCCAAGAAGCTGTCAGAATAGGAGTGGAGGGGAGGAATTGGTCGTCAGTTGCTCTGAGTTTTCTGTTCTTCCTCCTGAACTGCTGTAACCTCTGGACAGGTTATGCTCCTGAATTATGCTTTCCACTGTTGTGGAAAATGTAAGTTCCTGCTGCTGTGCTGGGGTTGGTGCAACAGAGGCTGTGCTGATGGCAGGCGCTCTGGCTCTCTGAAGTGCCCTTGGGGCTGTGTCCAGGGGGATGCAGGCAGGAGGTGTTCCTTGGTTTACAGAAATGACACTGGCATTTGAAACGATCTGTGTAATGCTGGTGTTGCTGCAATTCAAGCTAATAATGTAAATATGCTGATACACATTGTGTAGGACTGATTTCCCTTTATTTCATTCCTTGATCAACCTGAACATCTCCATTTATTGTGGCCACTAGGTGCTGCTCGTGGTCCACAGGTTGGAAGCGAAGGTCTCTGTGAAAGGCACTTGAGAATCTGACTTAATGTCTCTCTATTTTTTTATATTTCAAACAAATTTATCAAGCCTGCTGAGGCAAAAGTTTTCCGTATTGAATCTAGGTCTTTGAGGGTCACTGATATAGATCTGTCTCAGCATAATACAATTCAGATAGCTGCATTCATACAAAAATAATTACTGGGTTTTTTTTTAAGAATTAACATCCCTACAACTGGGTCAGTCCTGAACTAGTAAAGGCAGAGAGACTGTCAAGAGTTAAAGAGCATTATGCTGGCAGTGCAATATCTTCAAGTTGACAGCTTCTGCTTTTCTTCATGCTGCTCCTCCCTGTCAGGAGGCTGGTGTTTTGTGGCAGTGCAGCCGAGTGCTGCAAACTTGTTCCTAGCAAGAGGGAACCCCGGGGGCTCTTCAGAGAGCCTCTGGTTGAGTTGCATCAGCACCTTCAGAGGCTTCATTCTGTGCTAGAGCTGCCAGTTTCTCTGCAAGGCTGTGGCTGTTGCTGCAGTGGATAGTCTCACTTTTGCACCCTGTGACATGGTGAAATGATGCTGGGGTGGGTTAAGAGCACAGAGCTTCCCCTTCCCCCTTATTCCAGATCGTTTGTTCTCCTCAAAATATGTTGCTGCTTCTTCTCCCTCTTCCAGGACATAGGGTAAGCTGACTCCCACTTTGTTGCTGTTTGAGGGGGAAAGTTTGTAAAAAACCAAAAAAATTCAGAAAAACGCAAAACAGGAGGTTTTACTCTTCCAACAGGAAAGAAAACACTTTGCTTCTGCCAGCTGTTGTTTTTCCTTACTCTATTGTTTCCTCCTAGTGTGCTGTGACTTCTTTGTTCTCCAGAGAAAACAAGCTTTGTATATGTGGAGAGAGCAGTTTGATTAATGGAAGCAAACAGCCGCTGCTTTGTTACTGTCTGTATGATGCTCTGATATTTACTGTTCTCCAAACATGATTCCCGCTGCACTGGAAGGAATCTCTTAACCGGAAGCTGGGAGAGGAGAGATGGCTTGTGGAGATTATTAGACTTGTGGTGGATTGGATATGTGTGCTCGATTTCATTGAGCATCATGACCGAAAGCAGAACTCCAGCAGATCAAGAAGGCAATTAAGCAATTATACAGGGGAACAAAGCGTTCTTCCTTTTACCCACCGTTGTTCTCGCCACTCTTCTTCCACAAGCTTTGGGCATCTTGGTCTGATTTTCCATCTGCCTTTCTTCTGTAGCAACTTTTGTTTCCTAAAGGCTTCACTTGCATTGCCCTCCTGTTCTGTCTCTTAGGATCACCGTCTCAAGTATTGTCCTTGTGCAATAAAATAACAACGGGGAGCAGGACACGTCGGGCACGTTAGCATTTGACTTAGAATACCATGATCTGTATGCACTGTGGTCACGGTTGGGTTTTCCCTGCAGGTCTAAGGAATGGATAAACATTTATTCCTTTCTGTGTGCAAAACAAGGTAACAAGGGAAAAGGCATCAAGCTGAGCTTCCACCGTGCATCGCTTACCCCAGGAAGCCTTTTTGCTTATAGCTGTTCCCGGAGTAGTTTACCTTTTGTAGGATTGGTGTTGGCTGGTAATCCCTGTCTGGCTTCATGAGATTCCTCCGCTTCTCCAATCAAACCCCTGAATTGTGCAGCTTCATGGTGATGTGCCACTACAGCTGGTGGACCCCAGAGGGGCTCCTCTAGCTACGGGTCGGACTTCTCAGAGCTTTTGGGCTACCTGGTGGGGCCTTTGACTCCATTAAACTGCTGTTTGCATCGGAATTAATGAAAGTGGCAAGTGCCTCAACCAACCTCTGGCCTAACTGGAAACTTGACGCTTACCAGTCAGGTACCTAAGACAGAACTGGGAAGAAGGGAAGCAAGATTCATGTCAGTAGATAGTTGTGAGAAGCGGCTGAAGCTTGAGAAGTCCAGTGGTGTAAGAGTATTCCCTGTAACGGGTTGTGTGCCTGGGAAATGGAAATGAAAATGAAACTGTGCTGTGGGAAGAGCTGAGTGGGGAGTAAGAGGGTTCTCAGGATGACCTGATGGCTCTGCTGGGTGTCCGAAAGGCTTGTGAGGTTCTCAGAGCACTAGCAGTTCATTAACCTCACAGGGAGCTGAATTAAGGCCAGCACACAAAGCCTGTCTGCTCATCACACGTGATTTATTCGTAGCTCTGCCATATTCAGGACTGCAGGAGAGAGTCTTGGCGGTGTTGCTGCTGAAGACTGTCACGCGTGTGATCCTGATTCCTCTCCGAACTTCTTATTTTCCTTGGGCAGCAGGGATGCTGCAGAGGTACGTGTGCATCCTTAAGGTGTTGACTATGACTTAGCAGTCCCAAAAAAGCTGGCTCACACTGAACTGCCGTGCTCAGCCTCCTAGCCTACCCTTAGGTTGGAATCACACCAGTGTTGTGATGGCAGAGCAGTACACCGAGGTGGATGTGAACCACTGTTTCCTCTGCGTAGGCTCTTAAAATACTCCCTCTGCTTGTTTGTTTCAGGTTATGCCTTTTCAAAAGGACACAAACTGCAAAAGCAAGGACTAACACCAGCTGTAAACATTGCCTTCTCCCCTCTTTGGCCGGAAATAAGTCGCACCTCCAATGGCTTAACAAACAAGGGTTGAAGGGAAAAAATATTTTTCTCTTGTGTTTACTCTGCTTTTTACAGCTCTGAGTGCTGTCAGTGTCATTGTTTCCCCTTTATTGTCCAGTGATTTCCCCTCTTGTCCACGTGGGTCTTTCCCACAACAGAGGAGAGAAAAACAAGTACAAACAGTAGGAAAACGCTATTGTAAAACCAAAGAAAGAGGGAGTCTGCCTGTGCTGTGGGCAGGTGGAAGGTCATAACTCGTTTTCACACATGAAGCAGAGATGAAGGTGATAAGGACCCTTTAAACTTTCCGGCATTGGCTTAACTCATGGAAAAAGCAGACTTTTTGGCTAAATTTCATACTGCCCCAGCAGTAGCCTTTTGCTGATGGCTTTTCTGTCTCCTCGGACCAGATTGTCAGCTGCTGTAAACACCACTTTCGAGTTCAGCACACAGAGTTTCCAATGAGTTTAGCCTGTTGGCTGCAGTTCTTATTTTGAAAATCCAGTTCAGATCAGTGCTGATAACTCAAACTTCTTCCAAAGTTGCATCTGTTTCTCCAGTGTCCCCATGTGGGCCAACTCTGTTGTCAAGACTCTCTTGAGAAATACTTGGAGCTATTTTTCGTGCTGCACAGAGGCCCATCAGTTAGCAGGCTGATGCTGAATGAAGCAAACCTTGGTTAGATTTTTTTTTTTTTTTTTTTTTTTTTTGCTACAATGATCATGAAACAACAAGCCCTTGTTTCTCCTGTCTCTTGTGCCTCCACAAAATCTGCATTCAGATTTCCTTTCTTGCTTCCTTCCTTCCCCCTCTGCTCGGTCTCCGTTGGGATCCCCTTCCATTC